TCTGGATTCTTCTACATTGTCCTGCCTCTTTCTGTTAAATTTCTCTGTGCATTTCAAGCTGTGTTCTCTTTCAACGTTCCTGAAACCATCAAGTATGTGTTCCTGTTCAGTATTTATTCATCATATTTTACTCATGCCTATCTTGTTGTACTTCTGTGTAATGCCCTGGTGTGTGTACAGTTCTTTGTGTATGTATTTGCTTATTGATTACTAATAGTGACATGACTGTAGACAGAGGAACTTTTTCCATTAGATTTTTTATACTAATGCTTCATTATTTAAATCAAATTGAATTAAGGGATCAATGAAAGAAAGATCACCATTTATTCAGTGAATGTAGGGAAAGAGGCAGAGGAAACATTTAAAAATGAGTTATTTCACTTTTGATTTACTAAGAACATGGAAATTCTTTTCTATGAAAATGAAGAAAAACAGAAGATCACAGAGATCTTTAAACAGCATCCATCCTGAACACTACTGGGCATCCAGGTGGCCTGTAAAACAGGAGTTGGCTGCATGGACTTTGGAGGAAGTTGAAGCTTGGACTAGAGACACAGACCACTCTCAATTTATTTCATAAGCTTTTATTTTGAGGTTATAGTAAATAAGTAGCACATGGATAATAAATAGCAGAAATGATTACTTTTTACATGTAAACACTATCCAGAGTATAACTGTTGGAGAAAAAGAAACTGACTAAAAGCTTTCAAGTTCCCCTTTGGAATCATAGAAGTCTATGTCTCAAATGAAACAAGTTGATAATGGTTGTGCGCGCGTGTATGTGTGTGTCTGTGTGTGTGTCTGTGTGTGTGTGTGTGTGTGTGTGTGTGTTTATGAATCCTTTTCAGGTCTGACTGATATTTAGTAGCTTCTCCATACCTGTAAAGCTATCCTAGTTTTCAAAATACTGAAGCTTTCCTTATTGGATGATAGATTATTTATAACCCATATTTCCACGAGTACCTTCGAGCCACCAAACTCACAGCCCTATACTTTACTTTGATGTCAACTCTAATGTTAGCACTGGGCAGGTCAGACCCTCCAAGACATGTTTTTGCTCTGAGCCTAGTGAGGTCTGGCACAGCTAGATCTTCATGCCCAGACGCTTCATTATCACTTTACAAAGTTCAGATACAGCAATGTACAGGCCCCCCTTCCTTCCTTGAGTTGTTCACAGAACGGAAACATGAACACTCTTCATCTATAAAGCACCACTCAATCCTACAGTTGCACAAGCTAGCAGAGTTGGAGAATAAGAGATTCACTGACCAACTCATAAAGAAAAATTTCCCCCAAAGGGCAAATACATGCTGGCCCTGTTTGTTTCAATATTTGCATTTCAAAGTGCCAAAGGTAGCTTAATGCCAGGTCAGATGAGGAAGCAAACCCATTTGTGAATTTAAATCTGATTTGTTTTAATATTTTTTCTTTTAACCAAGAAAAGCACTGAAGGAGACTGTGCAACCTGCTGGGGTTATTGTAATTTAATCTGTCTATTCTTTGTAATAAAAAAGCTGAAGAAATAATAAAAAATACCTATTGATCCTTATTTATTGACTTGCTTGTGAGTATAGTTAAAGTTGACAGAGATCAATCACAATAAAGTTAAATGGATGATATGGTGTGACACCACCTGAGTTAGCAAGTAGAGTTTTAATTATGAGAATGTTCACATTTTCCTGTATGCATATTGGGGAGGAAGGTGATTTTTCAACTAATTATGTTCTCGGTGAGGACTTTTGCCTCAACTAGTGTTCTGAGGTGGACTCACCAAGCACATTGATCCAGTAACTGCAGTCCTTATGGCTTCTGATATTAGCTGTGTGTCCAAGAACATTGGAACTGAAATATTTATAGTCCCATATGGGGAGAATTATGTACCTATAATTGTTAGTGCATAAAATAATTGTTATTTATATCTTTCAAATCTTTTTTAGCCCAAAATATCTCAGATTTTAAAATCAATAGTATTAAAAGAATTTAAGAAAATTGTATTGTATTCTTCTGAGATATAAAATAATAAAAATATTTTGACGGTGCTAGAAAACATGTCTTTTGTCCCGTGTATGGGCTTTTCTTTTTCCAGTCCTCTTTGAAAGCACCAAAGCTGACAGAGATGTCTGTGTGTTCTCAAGGAATGTGTGTTTCTCTGATTCCCTTTTGTTTTTCAATTGGTTGCCATTAATTTTAACTTTCCTGGAATTTTCTGGGCAATAGGGAGGGACCTCTGAAGGGAAGCTCTGGTGCTTTTTTGAAAAGTGTCCTGGACTGGTTGTCCATGTTGAAACATAACCTGCCTGCATATAAAGAGATCTTCATATTCAAAGACATTTGCTAGTTGGTCTAAATGTAGGAAGTACAGGTCACAGTTATTTCCATAAGAGGCGTGGTTAGTGTTATTTTCACCATTACTAAAGCTGCATGAAAACAGAAAGTTTTGTGCAATAACTCAGTTTATATTTTACATGAATATCACCTCTAGAAGAGAGTCCCAGTCTCTGGAGAAACTGAGAAATCCAGGAGAGTTAAGTCGTATTTTAGTGAATGCTGGCTTCAAGCTTCCTGTATTAGCTACTTTTCTATTATTGGGAAAATATCTGACACAAGTTAAAGGAGATGTTCATTTTGGCTCATAATTTCAGTGGGTTGATTCCAAATTCAACTCGCCCCAAAACAGAACAGCATGGAGGAATGGTCTGGCAGAGGAGAGTGCTTACATTGAGATGGGGGAATGAAACTTCCAACCTACTAGATGTCCCAGTGTGAGTTCCTGCCTCCAAAATCAAAGAATGAATTTTGTTAACAATGGAAGTTAAGAGCAGAATATACTTACTGAGAGAAAGAAAGCTTCTACCTAAGAGAGGAGTCCCAAGTAGGTGGTCCAGGACTCTGTCTTTCTTAGGGTTTATTACAGAGTAAAACTGCAAGGTGAGATGGACCCAAGGTGGAGAAAAATGGGAACTCGCGAAGTAGGCATAAGGCATGACAGAACTATGGTTAACCAATAAGATTAACTGCTCAGGTAAAATTGATTAAGTCAGGAGCAAATGGGGAAGTGAGTCAGGTAGCAAATAGCAAGTAGGCATGCTTAACAGCAGTGATTCTTCGTGTAGGAGGTTGGGATGATGACTCCTGACTTCTTCAGGGTGACACAGAACTATTTAGATGAGTGAGTAGAGCCAGCCTAAGAGAGAAACACCGTGTACTGTAATAGGCAAGACTGTAGGGAGGGGTATGGCTGCCTGTGTCCTTTAGAGCCTGTATCTCACCACAACCTCCCTTGGGTGCTGGACATAACAGCTACAGAAATTAATAGTTGCCATTCTAGGTTTTAGTTTTGTCTCTGGTATTTTCAACTTCTTCAGGTTTCCACTATACCTAACGCTTCACTGGACATGGCAGGATCTGGTGATCTGATGGCCACTAGATTGCTTTGGCAGCTCACAGGCACATGGTAGATCATGTTACATTTCCCCATCACGTATCCTGTCCCCATCTTCACACCATCTGTCTTAAAGAAAAAAGCACGCTGGTCTATTTCTACTTTTTCTCTGGTATTCCAGTTTTTACACTAACAAAGCCCTTCAGCATATAGTCGCCTCAACAGATAGGGAGAAGTCTGATCTTGACTGATGGGGCTGCCTTTCCTGGATCCTCTGGAGAAGACCTAGCTCTTTTTGTCACTTTTCTGCTGTCAGTCACTTTCTCCTCCCAGCAGTGAGTTCCTCAGTCACAATCCGTTGTGTTCTAGAGATTCTAGCCCATGTGTTAGCTCACTGTCTTCTGTCTCCGCACCTTCTTATTGCAAAGGGAGGGACACTGTCCTATTTCCCTTATGCTGGCTGAATGACGACTGACTGTCACCCCTGAAGATGACCAGAGTCTTACTGAGAACTCATCTCCATTTCCCTTTCATGCTATGTCAAGGCAGCAAACATTTATGGGAAAAATTCACTTGCAAGATAGCTCCCCATTGAAAACACCACCCCAAATGTAATAGACCATGAATTGCTTTTGTTGTTAAGATTATAGGAATTTTTTTAAAAAAATCCTATAATTTCAACTCTTGGAGATATTTGGGGAACTCCCACTTCCTGTAGAAACTATAGGCTCTCCTGGAGCTCTTTTAATTGTTGGTTTGTTATTTTTTACATTCATTTTCTTGCTTTGGTATACATGTGGCAGTATTTGCTATGTATGCATCAAATGTTGATGAGTGGTGTGTTAATTATGACTAGACTCAACTCCTAATAATGGGAGAAAAAGTGGCAGTGGCTTAGGGGGAAAGATACACACTTATTTCTTATAAGAAACCCTGAAGAAATGAGGTCCAGGGATAGTATGACAGTTCTGCTCTCCAATAAGATTGATAATACAGACTACAAGATAGAAAAAGGGCAAACAAGAGAGAAAAAGAGAACTTTCTCTCTCACCCCTCACACCCTAGGTAGTAGGCTCTGAAATATAATTTTAATTTTGTGAAGTCCTGTGGAAGATTACATTAATATAGAAAGGTGGTATGACAGAAATTGGGGTGCTACTGGCATCCCTTTCACAAACCATTTATCTTTCATAAACACAACTAATGTAGGTCAATTCAACCCCTTATTTCTTCAAAGAACACTTGGAAAAATAATGCAGAGCAATCAAACCTTCCTGGAGTTAGTTATATGAAATACATAGCAAGTCACTATTTTATTTGATCTTCGACAGTCTAACAGTACTAAACTGAATCAAAAGGGAAATATGAACCCAAATGCCACTGCCAGCTGTTTAGTGTATCCCCACCATGAGCTGCAGTTTACCAGAGTGATGTTCTATAGCTTCACCAGTAAATATATTAAAGTCTCTTGTTATTATATACTTCTGGCTATAAACAGATGTATAATTCTTCAGTAGTTTTATATCATGATCATGATAATTGGGGTCTTACTGATGGTATCTGTGATTATTTGACAAATGATAACAACATTCCTTCCTCCCCTCTGGTTTCATTTTAGATAACCCAGAGAAAGATCACCTGCGGCGTCCTTGATCATGCAGCAGTCCTAGGATAATCAGAACCGTGGACAGCACCATGCAGCTCCGGCTCCTCCCCATGGTAACCCCACACTCTCACCAAGGCTTTGCTGTCTTCCAAGTGTGCTCCTCACGACTTAGCACAGATTGAAATGAGAGTTGGAAAGGGAGAACTCTTAAAAAACAAAACAAAACAAAACAAAACAAAACAAAACAACCCTGTCAAGGTGGCCTACATAACTGCTCACTTCCCATAGCTTCTGTCACTACCCACCTTGCCAACCACAGGAACTTCTCCCCTTAACCAGCTTTCATTACATAATTTCCTTCTCTGCCTCTGTCACCAGCCATGGAAAAATGTTCCATGCAAGATAGTTTCTCATATTTTTTTCAGGCTAAATTTCTTCAACATTTGGCTTCTTATTAGTTTAAACTTTGTTTCCAATTCATGTGAATGTATGAGGCATAATTCAAATTACTTTGAATTGATATGCTGCCAGGATTAATTAGGAGGAGGAATGCCTCCACTCCTGAGTCACTGGGTCCTGTTTGTTCTTCAGTTCAAACACAGCTTTTTCTAATGGTTATGATTCCTGCTTTTCACACTTATTTTTTTATATATTGACACTGTAGCGCATGTCTATATCTTGTGGAAAATTTATTTAAATCCAAGAAAAATTGTGTAATGAGCTTGTTGCATGGAAAATCAGTGGAAGATGTAGACATGGATTTCTTGTTTCTTGACCCCCAAACTCACCAGTACACTGATCTATTGTAGCACATCTCTTCGAGACATGAAAATTTATCCCGTACTACGTAGCTGAAAAACTATCCCGTATCTATCCCTCTGAAAAATATCTACCTCTGAGGAAGACTTCTTTGACACAACAAAGCTTTCACCCTGTTATTCTTGTTTTTCTATTTTGTTCATCTTTTCTGTAAAGAAAGCTCTTGAGCTATATTTCCTATTGTGAACAAGCAACCTATTATACCTATTTGGGCTTCACATCTGGTTACTGATGAACCATGTACTAAATACATCCATAGAAACTCTTATTAAAAAGTGTCCTGAGCCTGAGCTGGTTTTAGAGCCTAACTCTTTTGTTAGATACTTGTCTTGGCTAATGATGAAACTGTAACAATATATGACTATATGCATACCTCCACTATAAAATTCATCTCTTAGAGATTTGTAAATTTTCCAACTTGGAAAATTCCCAAATGGAGGACTGACAGGATTCCAGGATAGCCACGTTTTCAAAAATAGAATTCAAGAGCATTTAAAATATAGCACAGTCATTTCCTCCTTTTTAAATTGGATGCAATGTCTTGGGTGTGGTATGTTTTTCTGATTTGATCATTTTTGATGTTTTTCTTCTCTCTCACCAAGGGCCATATCTAATTTTGTCCATCCTCACTTCACAAGAACGCCATGTTGTTATGCAGCACGTTTACCTCACACTGGGGAGATATTAGTTGATAAGATCCACCTTGTTCAAATTTATTGCTTTAGCATATTTTATGCTAAAAATATTTTTCTGCCATCTGCTAAGATTAGCATTCTAGTGGTATAATAAATTTACTCACCCTGTTTCTGTGATGTAGTTTGGAACCAACTTTGTACTTTATTCAGCCTAATTGAAAATAGGATAAGATAAATGATGCACTTTGAATTTCTCTCAGACATACCATTGTTCATTACTTCAACAGAGGATGAACACGTCTGATTGTAATTGTAGTGGCTCAGTAAAATAAAGTTCTCATGGCAAAAAGAAAAATTCAGGTTTACCTATTTTCATCATACTGTGAAGTCTTATAAAATATTTAATATTGTTGTACCCTTAAAAATATACTATTCATTTATATAAAAAAACTGGTGGGCATCTTTTTAAAGCATTTATGAAAAGAAATATATTTCAGTGAAAATGTAGGGCTTGATATTCATTTACAACTGAGACTCAAACCGAAAGCCAGATTTAGAATTTGATATATTTTTGGCTTATTGGGAAATTTTGATTTTCTTCTCTTATGTAGTGTTCTACTTGGGTTTGAGTTATTTTAACTATGTTGAAGAGGAAAGAAGGCTAAGATATTTATTGCGGGTTAGATTGCTATAGATCCATATTCTTGGATACTTTCATTCAACTTTAGTCCTGGGAGTGACCATGAGACTTAATTGGCTAAGAAGATACCACTAATGTTGCACGAACATAGACTGAAGTGTATACAGATGAGGATTTTGAATGAAGTTGCCATGCTAAAGAACTCTGGAAAACCTATTTGAGACAGGTGGCACTGCTTGCAGATAGGATCAACTGCTAGACAAGTGAATGCCATCTTATCACCTGACCCTTCTCAAGCCACCAGGGGCTATTGCTGTCTGGGTGATCCTTGGCAAGATAGAGGAAGAAGTCTCTAGCTGAGCTCAGGCTAACTTGTGTATCTACACATTGAAGAACAAATACAACTATTCTTTCCTACTTATGTGTTGAGATTTTTGAATCTTTAAACAGTAATAAAATACTCAAATTATTTTATTTCAGTCCACAAGTTTGTGATATGGTTTGTTTTGCAACAATCAATAACTTATACAATATATAAAGCCCTTTTAAATGCTACCAAACACAGAACTTTGTGATTCAATAAGAATAATAGTGAAGCTAAAGCCTAGAAGACAAAGTCTCAGTTTGAACTGAGTAGAGACTAAAAAACATACTGGAAGATCAGGATAAGAAAAAAATGTGAACAAAATATGTGATTTATTACTATTCCAAAGCATTCTGTGCCTCAGTTTCCTTTTCTGTGAAATGGGAATGAGGGTATCTATTGAACTAGAATATCCACATGTTGGCACAGTGAAGTATGCAGGTAACCTAAGTTCTTATCATCCTATTTGCATAAAATATTAACATATAATTGGGTAAAATCAAGACAAATCTTTGTAGCCATATTGTAATGTGTAAGTCAAGGCAAGTTAAAGTTGGTGATTAGACTTCACTTCTATGCTAGTTCATGAGTGATGGGTGTGTCGTGTCCCGGATTCAGTGACATGTCTACAGATTGGCCACGGGAAAGTACTCCATAAGAAGGTTTGTTTTAAAAGAAGTGAATAATGTGGCTAGGAACCCATCTTTAGAAGAAATGGATTAGTCTTTATATTTCCATTTTGAGATCTCTCTCTAATCTCACACATCACAAAAGAAAAATAACATACTTTAGAAGAGAAACTTCTGTCCACGACTATGTCCACACTCAACCATCTCCCTAAAGTAGAACAATCAAGCTACAATATGTTATATAAAGCTGTTGAAAGTAAATCAGATCTCAGTAATGAAACTTTCTCCTCTTTCTACTGACGGTCCGAGGGCAAGGGGATGGCACTGGTGAGTCCTGGAGGCTGGGTCTCCAGATGTGGGTGTATTCAGTGTGAGAGGGAGACTTTTCCCGCATTTCAACAGAAATACATTTTGTTTCCAGAAGTTGTAATTTATATATTACGATCTGAATTTGATCATGTTTAGGGGTAGAAAAATGTGATGCTTCTCTGTCCACAGTCTTAAGGCTCTCCTAGTTACAGTACCTGACTGGCTCCTCCTCCTTCTTGCCTTCTTTTGTCCTTTCTTACTGTTTTATGAGTGTTCATGACAGAAGAAAAGGAAGGGATATGTGCTCAGCATGGCATCATCTGTACTGTTTCTGACATTCTCAGTCACAAACTGTCTGAGTTTCTCAAGTGAAAGCAACTTGTGTAGCCTTTCTATCCCTCCTGCTCGTGAGTCCTTCAGTCTGGAAGACCTCTGTAGGAGTGAGACAGTAGACCACACGCTCCTGTTTGTATCACCAGCACCGTGAGGTGGTTAGGAGGCTGACCTTGGGGTCCAAAAACATCTAATTTCCAATCTACACATACTATTTTCTAGAAGTTTGACATTGGGCAGGCTAATTAGTTTCTTTGAGGCTCATTCTCTCATCTGTTAAATAGGATTAATTCCTACCTTAATGGTGGTTGAAATGATTAAAGAGCTCATACATGCAACATGAGTGATATATAAATAGTACTCAAAAAAGGAGATATTGTATACCAATTCACGTAACAGAACATTCTGGATTAAATCATGAAATGTTATGAAGTCAGCCATTCTGCCTATCTTGTCCTGCCCACTTATGGACAACTGACTCAGCATACATAGCCGACTAGGGGCAGGGTTAGAGGCCATGATCATCCCTCAACACAGACTTTACTGATACTCAAGGTCCAATATGTGGTCACAGAAGCTGTCTTAGTTGCTTCCTTGATGCTAAGACTAAATATGCAACACTCACAATTTAAAGGAGGAAAGGTTTACTGTACTTAATAGTTTGTAAACGTTTCAGTTTTTTATCAGCTTGTTCCAAAGCAGGATGGCAGGGCAAGGGAGAATCAGTTCATGGCAGAGCAGGGAAAAAGCAGGAAGTAACAGCGTCACAGCTGCTCTCCCTTTGGATTCCAGTCAAGCTACAAGACTATTGTTTGGTGCCACCCATACCCAGGGTGGGCCTTCCCACTATCTACTCCCAGATCTGTACTAAATCAAGACAGTTTAGTTATAACACACCCTGAAGTTGTAGTCACACACCCTACACTAGCCACCTCTGAAAAGCCTCACCTGTGAGTGCAGGGGGCTTTGGCAGGACATCTAAAATTAAGCCATAAAAGAAGCAATCACTCTACCATCTGATCTCACCCATCAATAAGCTTTACCTAGAATTTTAGCTTATGGCCAACTTAAAATTAAAAGCAGCCAAAGCAATATTTGGAATCCTCATGACCTACTATAGTCAGAAAAGATACTAGAGCTGATTAATTCAACCTGTGCATTTTTCAAATTTATGCTGTCCAATCTGGCAACCACTAGCCACATGTGACTACTTTAGTGCTTGAAATACAGATAATCTGTATTGAAAGGTGCCATAAGTTTAAAATATAACCTTACTTCGAGAGTCTTAGAATGCAAAATAAATGTAAAATATGATATTAATAATTTTGTATTGCTTCCATAGTGAAATGATATGATTTTGGATTTATTATTTGGATTAATTAAT